AATGGCGTTTTGCGCTCTCCTATTGGTAGAGCGTGTGATATCAACCAATAGGAAAGATTAATCCAACCCAGGTTGGTGCAAACCCGATCGGGCCGAAAACGCTATTAGATTTATCAGAGAGGTGCAACCGGTGTTATGTATTCTGATTCGCTGTTGCAATCTGACCAATTGCGTGACTTGGCAGCCATTTATAGTACTAGTGACATATTTTTATTTCATTTTATCCTATACATTCTATCTCACATTATCTTGCACGTCTTATCTTGTTTGATATAGTTTAAAGGCAGTTTTATAGCATGTCGGCCATATTTAGTACTCTCCTTAGCACCTTTGTCATACTGACTTAAGCCGGTTGCGCCTCTCTGATAAATCTAGGACTCTAATTTCGCTGAGCTCTCGAGGAGCTTATAAAATTCGACAAAATGAACTCCCAAGAAGTTCATAATGCTTTTACGAAAAAGGCTCGATTTTTGACTTCAGAAAAGCACTGTACAGAATAACAGACCCGAGTACGCCTGTCGAAAAAAACTCCACTTTTAGAGGATTTGATAAATATTTTTTCTCCTATTTTCTCCTCTAATTTTGTAAAATGTATTATTTTTATGCGTAGAAATCTACGAAAGAAAGAACATCACTCAAGTCCCGTTTTATTAGATCTTTTCGCGTTGCACTCTTTATACTCAACATCGGGGTGATCCTGATTGATCACGGCTCGATTGGACACCACCAAAGACATAGAGAATGGACTGCGCAATCCGTGTAGTGGTATAGGATATGTTGGTCAAGGAAAATGAGAGAGAGGGACATAGGTTGCGGCCATGGTATAAAGACAAGGGTATGCTCTTGCGCATATTTCAGAAAGGGCCAATCAGGGACTTTGTGCAAGCTTACGTCACACTGAGCGGAAAATTTAAACAGTGTGACTGTAGACGCGTTTCATTTAACGTTTGCAACGCTCGCGAGCATAGGTGCGTTCAGGAATTATGCTCAGATAACTCTTGGGTGCATTTTTGCTATAATATAGGGTAAGTGCGGGTAATACACCAGTGTGGGGAATATGCCACACGTTTTGTTTTACAATGATACCGATTAGCAGCGCTTGCGTTAATGACACAGAATTATGTACAATTGTGTGCTTAACGTATTGCGTAAGTATCAAGAATTTTCTCGCAACAGTATTATTTTTATGAGGTAAATACAATGTAACACAGTGAATCATTACATCCTTATTGTTTGCTTGTTAAACAAGGATGAAACGATTTTCTGTGTTACACAGTATATATATTTATGTACGCACACACACACACATATATATATATATATATATATACATGTACGTATGTATGTGTGTTTTATTTATGTACGTAAGTATGTATATACATATTTATGTATTGTAATGTAATGTAATGTACTGTCTGTAAATGTGTTATAGCGGACATAAGGAACTTAAAGAAAAATGTAGATAAAAAATAACAGCAAATGTAGATATTTAAGAGACAGGTTTTTTTATTACTAAATTTAAATGGTTACAATTGTTTATAATTATTTAAGAGACAGACTTTGTATTGGTATATTTTGATATCTTTTTTGTTTTCGCCTATGATTTTTAGATGCGATCGTTCGGTTTATTTCGCGCACCCTAATGTACGTTCTGGTTCTAATAAGGCATAGTAAAACCTCTTCCGATATTTTAATTTTCAATTTTGGTTGTATTATTTTTGCTAATGTTTGAAATATAAAATTTTCTTTGTTCAAACTAGATCCGTGATACTTATCAAATTCAATATTCATTATATGCGCACATTGTAATAATTTGTCACTCGGATACATACATTTCCCTCGCGAAATAAATTGCAACCAATCTGAATCATACGTTGTTTCTAGTTGGCGCGTTTCAATACCCAATGTCTTGTCTTTACTTTTAAATCTAAACGCTACGTATCCGGCTATATATTTTAAACCCTCTTCATTGATAATTTCATGAACGTTGAAATCCTCTAATGCTTGTAACAACTGTTCTTCGTCACTTGAAATAATCGCGCACGGATCTAATGTTATACAATTTTCATATGAAGCTTCGCCAATACACAATTCTTCTTCTTCATAACTGTAAGTTACAGTAGTGTTTTCTTCTTCAACATAGGATGAAAGTATATCCGTTAACATAGAATCATCGATATCGCAGTTAAGAGGAGATACAAAAATAGGTTCATTCGATTTGTTTTCTTGAACATTACATTCATTTGACAGTGCATATCTAGAATGTTTGCCCAATATATATCGTTTTAATCGGTATTTAAAATCTAAGGGTGTTGGGTGATCGTTCGCACACCCTATTGAACGTAAGAATGAGAACAAATTTTCTAACAAATCTTGATTAAGACGGTAAGTTATTAAATAAGTGATGGGAAAATCGGATGTACTGTATTGTTCTTGTAAGTATAATAATAGTTGTTGTAAAGAAGCGATACTGACTAAGATGCCTTTTTGAAAAGGTAATAAAGTTTTATGCTTTCCTATCCGAGTTTCGTTAATGAAAGACATCATGTTGTTTAAAATCACATTCTGTTCTTCAATATTTATACCGTACGCATTTTTTCCTGTATGTTTACCGTACTTACATTTTGCATTAAAAACATCGAACCAGTCATTACACAATCTGATAACATACGCTGCTTCCTGATATGGTAAATCCAAAAGGTAACTTTTACGGCCGCACCATTCTATCGCAGAAGCTATCGTGTTGGATAAGACTTGCGCAGCAGGAAGAACCTTCTGTCTTTCGGAACCTTGTACATTTAAGTGATACGTAGTGATTTTATGGCTAATTTTTAAATCTCCTGCATTAATGGAAAGCAACTTAAACAATATTTCCTTATCAACTATTTTCCCCTTCCAGATAAACCCTTTGTCCAGAAAATGATTCCTCAACAACTTGAGAAGATGCGGAGCATCTGCAAAAACAAATACTTTTAAGTCATTGCGTGCGGGATGTTGAAAATAAGACTTTTGGGGATGCATTCCTATTTCCAATTGTGACCATAATTTAAGATTGCCCGGGCCCAAGTCACTAGTTATAGCAACCACTATATAACCAGCATCATGCAATTTTAAAATAATATTGTTGAGAGTCGTCGCATCCATTGTTTTATCAAATTCGTAATAAACAAGTTGTTTCCAAGATGCAAAAAGGCTTCTTACCATTACACACTGGCAAGTTTTATGAGGACCAATAACCTTTTCTAACTTACGATCTATCGCAATTTTGTCGTTAATATAAATTTCGTCAAACGTTAACACAACTAGTCTTTCAATATCAAGCATGCTCTTTTTTCTTGCAATCATGCAATGGAGTACAGAGAAGAGTATACCCGGTTCAACATCGATTGTACTTGCCCACCTTCTTAATGTTGAAAGGCCTGGAAGTGGTATTTGCAGAACATGCTTCATATAACGATATGCCTTTGGGCTGACACATCGCAAGGATATCGCGTGTGTGATATCTTCGGAAGACCATTTCATCTTACATAGTGAGGGATTCAATATCATCCGTATTTGTCCTTGACTGAATATTTTTCCCAGTAACTCGTACATTTTTCTTTCCACGAGTTCTTTGTCTTCTTTCGGTCTCGCTTTCTCGTACTTCTTTATCGTCTTTTTCAGTGCAGTCACCTGGAGTTCCAGATCGTGTCTGAAAGTGTAAATAATAAGTGTATATGTGTATAATAATAAGTGTATAATAATAAGTGTATAATAATATGTGTATATTATAAGTGTATAATAATAAGTGTTTATAATCGCATTGTAAGTTCGATGGTGTTCGGCATGTAGTTTAAAGAACTAAAAAGATGGATGTAAAAAAATATTATAAGTAACAAGGCTCAAGAAAAATAAATAATGATATAGAAGATCTAGCTATGATCAGTGGCCTTTATGCTTAATATATACTAAATTTATATGTGATTTGTCTACTTAATATACTTACATATTTAATATAACTTACATTTTGGAAGACATAATAGCTTCTGTACTTGTCGATGGAGTTGAGGAATCTTCGTTCGATGCTAACGGAGTCATTATTTCGTCTAATACCACCGCAGTTGAGGAACCTTCGTTCGATGCTGACGGAGTCATTATTTCGTCAAATTCCACCGCAGGTGAGGAACCTTCGTTCGATGCTGACGGAGTCATTATTTCGTCTAATACCATCGCAGTTGAAGAACCTTCGTTCGATACTGTACGAAGATGTAATGTTGGGATAGCATCAGGACGTAACTTTCTAGTTTTTGAAGGAGAATAGCCCAGCAATTGTTGTTGTAAGTTCTTTGTAAAACATGCATCAGAAAAATGCTTTGAACATATCCTAGCTGAGAGAACCAAACAAAATTTATATTCTGTACAGGCTCATAATAATAAATACATTCAGAAGAAAATGTGATACAATATTACCATATAAAGATACATAACTTACGATATTTTGAAATATTTTTTTTTCCACATGCTTGATGCCATTTATTGGAAAGTACTGGATCTTTTGGGAAGGAAAAATATTTTATCTTTCCTCTAATCTTTTTGGTTTTTGCCAAATAATTTCCACATCCGTTCACGTTACACGTCATTGTAAAAAAAATTCGAAAATGAAACAAGTGACTATATTTTCTCATATGACCGAAAAACAACTGCGTACTCTGTCATTTTAGCTATAATCGCAGCCGAATACGCTACCGATCATATCCGATTCATCCAGACTCTACACGAGTATGACGTAAGCTTGGACAAAATACGGCGAAGTGGTGGGAATGCGCAGTGGTCTGACACGAAACGAGCATACCCTTGTCTTTATACCATGGTTGCGGCCAATCTGTGTCTTTTTTTACTCAACGGTGAAATTGTGACGTTCCGGGCCCCGTCCTTATGGAAACAGACACTGAAAATTTTCGAAGAAACACTGAAAATGAGGGGTTAACACTCAAATTTGAGCGTTAACCTCTTATTTTCAGTGTTTTTTCGAAATTTTCAGTCTGTTTCCATAAGGGCGAAACATAATTTTAAAGCTCTGTAAATGAGATATTTAAGCTTTTCATGAATCTAACCTAATATGTGTACCTACTTATGAAATGATCTTTTAGGTTCTTTATCTCCTCGCCACTTGCACACCCAACAAGTATACACCATATTTCTAT